CCAGTGGGAAAATTCCCCCCCCTTCCCCTGCCTTTTTTTTTTTTTTTTTTTTTAATAATAATAATCCCTCAGAAATGAAACAGCCCATTCCTCATCATTAGTCCAGGAATTAGGCCTGGCTTCCAGTGTTACTGTTCCATTAATGTTTGGTTCTGTGCTCTTTTGCTACCCTGGTATTGACTTCAAACACAGACCACAAGGAAAATCTGAAACCCATTAAATCTGCTTTAATCCAGTCTGTCTTCAGTCTTTGCACACTTGTGCAAACGATCATATTTAGCAGGCAAGTTTCCCTTCTGCTTTGTGTGATTCGGAGTACCTTGAGACATCATTTCAAACAGATATTAAATTGTATTTCTACACAAAGAGACACCAAAATGACTGATTAGTGGCATGTCTGATGTGTCCTGAATTTTGATATCTAGTTTCTAGATAACTAGTTCATCTGATTTCCTTCCAAAGTGTTATAATATCCACATGTATCACATGGTCATTCCTTTTAATAAATAAATGAAAAGTGGAAAAAAAGGGACTTGTATAAAGCTATAAAAAGGGTACTGGGCTGGACTAAAATTAAACATAATGAATTTCTGGCGTACTCAATTCCTTCCCCAAGTGAAGAGGGAAGAATCTCAGCCACTGCTGTGATTCTTAGAAAGGGAAAGGATACAGAACTAGAATGCACTGAAACCAGTAAGAAGAATAAGCTGCTTTCCTGTTTTTGCTTCCTGTGTTCCATGGCACTGCATGGATACCTGGGATTAGAAGACAGTCTATCTGGTCATATGAAATGACAATTCCTCGCACAGAACCGGAACTGAATTGAAAAACAGGGCCCACGTTAGTATTTCCTCTCCACAGGAAGATACTGGGAACAAAAACTAGACTATTTACTTAGTCTGTTTATAAGCTTATATAACCTATCTCTCCACCTCTTACAGTGAGGAATATTTTACAGCACTTTCTTAACTGTGTTGTACCATAGATAAACCCTTAATAATCAAACATGTTGGTCAGTAGCAGGAATAGGGGTTGCCAAAGACAACGTTTGCACTTACATGCTTAACAAACAGGGATCCCAGCTTTTCTGGATCTTCAAGGCACTTCTCCAACTCTCCTAAAAAGAAGCTGAACATAAAGAGAATAAGCAATTTTCTTCTGATAGCACACACTATAGCAACAGGTGATTGCAAGGCAAAGTGGTCTTACTGCAAGGTCCACTTTGTGTCCCCTATCAGCAGCTTTGGATATTAATATATGTCCAAAATGACAATGTTGACAATGTAATATTTTAATATAGATTTCCCAAAGGACACACTGAATCCACGCCAAGATGAAAAAATACTGGTGTTCATTAATAAAATTCTTTAATTTCATATACCGATTGAAACTTTTTTCCTTCCTAGTCTGAGTGCCTGAGGTGCTCATATTGCCATGCTAACCCCTAACAAATTGTTTAGCCTGTATTCTTAGAGAAAACATTTTTGAAAACAAAGCCTCAAACAACGTACAAACTTCTGTACATAATACTATCCATAATATAGATTCTCAGTTGAAGCACTTGGTGTATATAAGCACCCTTGTTTAAAGGAAATCTTCATACCAACATTTGCAAGCTGAATCTACGGTATCTACAACTCAAGGCACAAGACTAACTGTATTTATCTTGTATCTGAATATTTGAAGAAAAAAAAAAATTTCTTAAAGTCAATCTAGTATATTTCAGGTAGAATTGTTCAGCAGTTGGTTTTCAAGGTAATACGTACTCTCTGTGCCAGTCATAAATCTGGTGAATGTTTCCAAATACAATCTTGTCTTTGCCTTTCATGTCATCAGGTACGCCATCTTCCTTCATAAGTGCCATGTAACCCTGCAACAGTCCAAGGAAATTCACTGTGAACGTTTTAACTTTTAAAAAGTGAGTTGTCTTTTAATCCCCCTTTTCCCAGAAGCTTTCCAAATTGCCCGTGACAACAGCTTGCTTGGGACACAAAAACAAACCAAAACACTGCGCTATAACATAGCATAACATTGAGCATAGACACAAAATATCACATATTTCTAGCCCAGTGCTAGAAAGATGAATTCACTCTAGCTAATTTAGCCTGCATGAACAGGCTCAAAGCATAGAGAAGACTTCTACAGCCCTTCTCCTTATTGTCTGAAGCAGCTACAAAGCTTTGCCAGGTAGGGCTGATACCAAGTACAAGTCAGAGCCACTGAACTGGCTTCTGCGCTCCTTTGCTCGCTGTTTCTTATTTCAGTCATCCACAATAACCCGACACCAAAGTGCGCTGAGGAAGAAAGCAGCTGCACTGCGTATGGGACTGCACTGCATGGACTACTACTTGTGGTACGAGCAACTGAACACCAAAAAAACTGAACATCAATTCTATTAGCAAGCATTCTGGATGCAATGAAGTTCGTTTTCCATCTTCCCATAGTCCTGTCTTCTCCTTTTTGGTGTATAAATACATTCATCTCACTGTGCAATTCTATCACATAGTTAGAGCTCGGAGTGTTTTTAAATTTTGTAATATTCATACAACTCTATTCCTTCTATTTTTTCCTAATACTTCTATTCCTAATTAGCCAGGTCTGGTTTTAGTTTGCAAAGTTTATGTTTTGATGTCTAGCACTTTCATCAGGAATTATTTTATTAGTTACAAAAATACGTCTGTTCATAGCCTTCTAATGCACTCTTTAAATACTGTAAAAAGACTATCACAATGCTGATCTTTCTTTCGCCCCTCCCTTTAAAACAGAGTTTAAGAATTGAACCTTGCTAGCCTGGAAATCACTGCCATGCTCACACTCTCTACTCTTCCAAATGCATTTTGTTAGTAGCTGAAGACTGAAGGGAGATGTGTGATGTTATCTCATCTTACAGAAGGGAAACTAGGAAGTCTAAGAGAAGCCTAGCAGTAGGAGAGAAAGCAAGTCTTTCAAATCCAGGATAGTTCCTCTACCTGCTGAGTTACAATGCTTTTTTGAATTTAGTTGTGCTAACTAAAACCTAGTCTAAGATACTATTAGGCCAGAAGTAGTGATCTTAAAAAAAATTACTAACTACACTCCTCAGAAGAACAATAAGGTGTACACAATAACGGGAAGAAAAAAAAAAAGGAATGAGATCTTATGCAATATTTCTAATATGTTAAAAGCCCACAGGAGGGAAAACTCAGAATGCAAACATTCACATTTTCAGTTTCTTCCTGTGTTTTGTTTTGAAAAAACTGTGAGGTTCAAGCGACGCAGCTGGTTGCTACCACATTTAAAAGAAAAAAAAAAAAAAACAAAAACCAAAAAACTAAAAAAAAGAAAAATCAAGAGAATGAAAAACATCATACCTCAACTACGTAGCCCAGATCTCGTACATAATCTCGCTCTGTCTCCACTAATTCCTGTAAGACATAGCTACAATGGAAAGAAAATGGTGAACACACATTTCACTAAAAAAATGAAACAAATTCTTAAAGAGGATTAATGGCATACATCTTTTCAGACATTTGCAGTCACATATGTTTGATAAGCAGAGCTGAAACAGAAGAATTAATGTACATTCTTTCTAAGCAAGATGCTGCTTTGACTTTGGAACCGGAGCAGGCTTAATTCTGTTTATCCAAAGTCAAATGTTTTCTTACACGTGTCATTAAAATTAAACATTTAACTATTGTTTAAAATAAAATGCTATTATATCTCTGGTCTGGAGACTCTTAAGGATATGAACTGTTATTTCTACCCACAGATTTAAATAGTTTTGAAACCAGGCATGTTTTTGTTCTACCATGGTAACAGTTTACTGTTACATAAAGAAATTAAGAGTACGGTGGAACAGAAGAAGGGGAATGACCAATTTTTTGAAGCCTAATCACCCTCTAAACATTTAAAGATCAGCATCTTCCTGCGTAACCGAGACTGACGTGACAGAAGTCAAAGACAGGTATAACTAAAATTAAAAATCACAGGGAATTGAAACTGTGACTGTTTAAGACAATTTTTTTTCTTTGCATAATGTGACTGCATGCTTGACACCTAACACAAGTCCCCCCCCTTCCAAATTAACAGTTTCTGCTGCCAGCTCAAAATGGACATTTTTAAAACATTTCATTCATCTCTTCAGAACATTGTCAAAAAAGGACTGAAATTTGGTCTTACTGTCGTCTTTTTAAGGAACTGGATTTCCTTTCTTCCATCTCATCTATGGGTGATGAGGAGGAAAGAAGTGAGTTATCTGAAGGATTGAAGGATGGACTGCTGCTGTCACCTTGATCTACCAACAAGGAACTTGGACGGTCCTCCAGGGCCTGAGAAGGTGTTCAAGAGAGACAGCAACAATTATTTAGTTCCCCTTTATTCACATTTACATGCAGCTGTATATGGGAACCTATGGGAGATCAATTACTGCAATATATCTTGGCAAAGGCAGTCTCAAGATTCCAGGAAACCAACCAACAACTTGGCTCTCCAGGACAGATAACCTAACCTTATAGAAGCACATCAGTCTTTCCTTCACAGGAAAAGAAAGGAGTTCAGTTGGTTTAAGCAGTGAGAGATAAAAATCAGACTATCCTGCTCAGGATGTAAGTACTTCTATGGTGGAAGCTTCACAGATGTGTGCCTATTGCTGAGGATTAATTATATTTGCCATACTTTAGTTCCGGCATATGCAAGTTACTTTCAATAATAAATAGGACATCTTTAAAGGACATTCTTTGAATGTTACATTTTTTATTACAACAGAAGTGGCATTCTTTGTCAGATATTTGTTTATCATTAACTAGCCAAAATACTGACTCATTGAAGAAAATAATGACTTCTACAGTCAACGTTGCTTTTGAGCTTCATGACAGTTCAGATCCTAGGAAAGATTCCCTATCTCTTCTGCCAGTTACACTGTCTCCCTTGCATGGACTCAGCAGTCTTCTGTTTGTACAAAAGATGGAGAAGCCACAGGAGAAATAATATGAACAAGCTTCTATGAAGTATTTATTGGACTTCTTTAATTTAAGCCCATAATCTTGGATCAAGCTACAGTTATGTATCACTTTTTCCTTGAATGTGGTACAGGCTTTAATGCAAGACACATTTAGTTCGCCAGGGTGGGGTTCAGCTGTAATCTTTTTTAAATGATATGACTGGCCAAAAAACCAAGAGAAGCTGACCCTTGGCTAAAATTGTGAAATGAGAACATCTCCACCAGGGACTATATGCACAGATCATTAAGTTACATCCACTGCTAGGCTGCCTGAAAGACACATGGACTGTCAAACTTGCCATTTACAAAAGGCTGCTTTGAATTTTCTCACAGATTACTTCTTATTCACCTCCTGGTACAACAGAAGTAAAAAGCAAAGTTAATACTCTAAGAGAGTGCAGAAATTATTTTATGCAGTAATGTAAGTGAAGTGTAAGTCTTTCTGAATGAGGAAATATAAAATGGAAATTAAAATTTCTCATTCTGAAATTCAAAGCTGCTTAAATTTAGAACAAGCCTGGGAAATTTCAACCTCTGGTAACATGGGGCTGCCACGCTGCAATTCTCTGTAGAGTTTTCACAGTGGCACTTCTACTAAGCCCAACAGGGTCCATGTTGCAAATACCAGGCTTAAAGGTTTTAAGTGAATCACAGAATTGCTGAGGGACCTCCTGAGACCATATGGTCCAATCCCCCTTCTCAAACAGGGTCACATCTAGAGCAGGTTTTCCAGGACTGGGTCAAGTCAGGTTTTGACTATGAAGGAGGGCCTTCCTGGTATTATCCATACTCCCTGTTCTTTGTCAATGAGCATCTTCAGAAACATAGGAATTTTAAAACACAGAAACTTAAAAAAAGCTGACACAAATTTCTCCTACTTAATTTGTTAGCACACACTGCAAAGCAAGGAAGGAGCCGCTAACATATGAAATGAGTCTTTTACTCTTTTACTTATTTCTTCATTATCACGTTGCCCAAAAACCAGCCTGATAGCATAAATGTCCCTGTGTGAGGGTTATCTGCTTTACTGTTGAACTCTGCAGGATTTGCTGTAAATTCAGTCTCAGAGATTCTTCTCATAAAGGTCTATCAGGCAAATCAGGGTAACCCTGGGTCTTAACATTCATTTTACTAATAGAGCATTTTCTTTTTACTAATAGGAGATACATTTGCTGTCTTCTCTCCCTCATATTTATTGGTTTTTTGCTTCTCTACACAGCCATTTACCTATTCAGTAAGTGCTTTCACAATAGAGGGTGTACAAAGCAACTCCTACACCAACCCAGAAAGTGACTTTTGAAACAGGCATCAAGTTTTACAAGTCAAAGGTGTATGCTCAGGATGGGCATGTAGCTTTTCTTTGAATAGCAAGTCGGGACTTGAAGACACAACTTCTTTAAACACATGCATCTGCCAGTCAGCCTCACCATTTTACTTTTGACGAGCTCTTCAATTGCACTGACTAGTTCTGCAGCACTGGGTGTCTCAGAGCTGGTCGGCCGCACCAGTAATCGAGAGGATGTCTGTGCAATGACACAAAGGAAGGAGAATCCCAGAGTTAGCCTGGTACTTGCTCAAGGATCAAGACACCTCCTTCACTTCTCTGTTAGACATAGGTACCTAACAGTAACAGTCAGTGTAATGTAACACTAAGATCATCCCTTCCAACTTGGGCAACTACAATTGGAAATGTCAAGTAACCCCCACAGAAGTTAAATGCTGGGATAAAAATTCCTGTTCCTACATGCAACAGAAGTCAAGGAAATATCCTTCATCTTGCTGATTATAATAATGCCGGACAAATAGCTATAAAAACTGCCTGAGCTGACCCAATGGACAACAAACACTTTGTTAACGTGTTTCATTCGTGGTGAAACAAAGCAACAACTGCAGAAAAGTAACAGGAACCAAGACTTGAAATAAAGGAGGAAGCATCTTTAAGCTAAGAATACACACACCAGTAACTCAGGGGTCATTTAGTTTTCTAAAGGAGCTGGGGTATATTGCCCAGATTCAGAGGGGAAATTGAGCTCACCATTCCTTGTGCCATCCATTTTCCCCAATGGTATGTGTAGAGCATAGATGATCTCTGGCCTCACAAGCTATAAAATGCCAGTTTATAGATACAACTGAAGGTAAAAGGTGTTCACAGTAAAGGATTCTGGGAAAGGGCCATTAAATTCAGCCTCAGTAATTTGCAAACAGAGCTGTTTGCATATTACATTTATCATTAAATAACTGGAAAGTGGAAACAGGGTGTAATATGAACCTTACTTCATATTACGAACAGGACAGTGAACATCATGTAGCACAGAGTAAGCTGTCCTGCAAATGCTTCCAACAAACTGGACAAAGAAATGGCACGTATAATGACTTAGCACAAGAGGTTCTGCTCAAATCAAACATGGGTGTAACAAGGCTCCCCATAAATCAATACAAAAAAGGAATATACAGATTTTAGGCAGTTTGCCTTGTATTTGTCTTATTCGGAGAGGAAAACGGGTTGGGTAAGCAAAGGAAATACAGACAACTTTAAACAGAAAGATAGGGGAACTGAGCCAAAGCAGAGACAGAACACAAGTCAACATAATGCTGCATCAGAGTTTACAAAAAGAGAAAACAAAAAGCAAAAATAATTAGTTTCATATTAACATAACTGATCTTGAAACTTTAATACTGCTTATCCAAAAAATAAATGCAAACAACTTGCAAGCTGCCATCAAATGTAAATCCATAAAGTGTACAATGATTCTACTGAACAGAAGAATGCATACTGTGTAGATGAGTTCTTCGGAGAGAAAATGGTTGTGTTATTTAGTGATATTAGACAAATCAGCATGGCCTAGCATATGATGTTTGCATGCACACCAAAATTTGAGCAATCCCACGGCTAGTGTGTCTTTTAGGCAATTGCATGCTCCTGACATGCGACTGTTGACCAGGTTTTCCAAAGCTGTGCTTGTATGCGGGTTTTCACTTTGGATGTGGAGCTCAGCTTAGCCTTACAAAACACTGGCACTGTTGGAATCAGACTCGGGTTAAGGTCTCTTCTCTCTCTTATTGCTCTATGGCAGTATATGGGGTGTGACTGTTCGTAAAACTTCAGAACTGGTTGGCTTCCAGTTCATATCTTATATCATGTATTATCTGAAAAAGAAGGAGCTGCCAGGCTACGCAGATGAAGCCTGCCTGCTGACCTTCTTTCTGATGATGTACTGTGGGAGCAGAGTACGCCCCTTGCCTAGAAAATCAGGAAAGGTGGAGGGAGCAACTGAGCACGTGCAGGTGTGAGATATTGCTGGAGCTCACAGCGAGCTGGGTAAGGAGGCAGAAACCCAGCAAGCAGGGAGTTTCCAGCACTGAGCACGGACCAGGAGCTCTAGAGAGAAAGAAATGCTTGCAGTGAGGCACAGATGAAAGCCAAGCCTCTAAGGTCACGGAAAGGAGGAGACATTCCTCAGGATCCAGAGGAGCTAGGCAACCCAAGAAACCACTGAGTGTGGCAGGAATGTGAAGGAGGACTCCACCCAGAAGGCAGACAACTGGGAATTTGTTTGCAAGCCTTTTATTAATCAGTAACTCCATCAATAGGGCCAACTGACTTCTGTTGGGTAAAACTTTGCTCTGGCTTCTCACTTCTGCATTCCAGTAAAGCATTTGCTTTAGGTACTGGAAATCGGTGGTATGCTTTGGCGTGTGGACTTCAGGGAGTCACACAACCTCCCAGGCTGCCACATGAGGGGACTTTTTTGCCTTACACCATGCAGTAGGACAGATATTGCACAAAACCAATGCACCTTAAATGAATCACGATTTACATGTTTTGAAAAATTATGGTATTATTAACTGTACCAAATTTTAACTTCTCGGAAGTCTTTTCTAGAATGCAGTTTAAGCTACTTAACAAACTGTCCCAACATGTTTTTACTGCAGTGGGTGCATGTTAACCTCTTAAGAAGTGAAAAGTAAAATTTTACGGGGGATTGAAAGTTACTCAAAGCCTCTTACTCTACTGTGATGAGGTCTCATTTTGCACCAGAAATACAAAAGTGAATGGACACTAACTTAAAGGCATATCCCTTCACTGTTCTAACTGTGCAAAAAGAACTATATAAGCAAGAGCCACTTTTCTCTGGAGAACTTTTTATAAGGCTTACATATAAATTTTTTTATATCACTGAAGGGACATGCAAATGTGGCAGCTTATCAGCAGGGACTTTAACATATTTTCACCAACATCATTTTTATTCTATTTCTAAACCTGAAATTGAGATGATTATTTTCTAGCAATAAAATATTCTCGCAGGTCTAAAGGCTGGCAAAATTATAAAATGCCTACTTTACCTGCTTTGTTTCAAGAATATTTCCCAATATATTAACTCTCCCAACTCATATATTATACTTTCTGGATTTGGAAAACATGTAGAAATTAAATACACATAGAGCATGGGAGTCAGCCATTTTGATCCTACAAATGATAGCTTCAGGGATGATTGAGATCCCCACCGAAAGGCAGTGGGATAAAAGGAAGAAAAAAGAGAAGTCAATAAGATCAGCCAAAGTTATCAATAACATCTGCATCACTCAGAACAGTGAGTAACCACCCACAAAATTCACTAACAATGTTCATGCTGTAGGTTACAACGGCTAAAAATTTTAAGCAGCAAAATGGGAAGTAAACAGTGAATGTGAATATTTGCTGCAGAAGTCCACACTGTTTCTACTCTAACACCTTCTATTTCCAGGCTTGATAGTTGTCCCCTAAACATTTGATCCAGGTTGAAAAGTGAAATAATTCTTCCCAATATATGAACATCACAATGTTTAAGAAAAACAGGTAACATGCAAGTAAGATCTTCTTCATGTTGTTACTAACTACATCCAGAATTTCATTACTGATGCAAAATTTTTACCCTCAATTTTAATGTGTCCTTGTTTGTAAAAACCAGCTGGATTATTACCCTTATTTGGATATTAACTTCTTAGTACACTTGTAGAGCCACCACAAAAAAGAAAAAAAAAAAAAAGAAGCTATTCTGCTACACGAAAACACTTTAGAGTTGATGTGAACAGGTCCTTCTGCTAAGACATATACCTAGAATTCTTTTTCCTCCTGAACTAAGACTATCCAAAATAGTAGGGGGCTTGGTGAACAGCCTATGATCTAAAAACATTATGTACAACTGTTAATTTCTCCAGATAAGCCTTGCTTGTACATAGTATTTTAACCTCAGTACCCAAAGGTATGATTACAAAACAAGTAAATTCTAATCACTAAATATGGCATCTGTTAAACAGATGTAAATAGGCCTGCAAACACACAAAGCAGCCCATTTCCACTTTTAAAGTGGTAGTAGAAAAATTTCTGCACTTGTGCTTTTAAAATAGAGATGCATTTAATTCACGCTCTTTCCACAGGAAAGCCTTTTAACGTTGTCTAAAGTGGCGTAGTGATTACTTCTGACGACCATAAAGCTATAGTACATACATTACAGAGATTTTTGGAAAGAGAAAAAAGATTTGAGCAAACAGAGGTTCTCTCAACATGTGAAGCCTTGCCCGCTTCCTCCTCCTACCTTGTCATCCTGCGAGTCGGGCTGGAGAAGACTGTGTTGCTGAATTGCCATTGGAGGAGGAAGCGGTACAGCATCCGCTCCCTCTTCACCTTCCTCCTCTCCACAGCTCTGCATGCCTGAAGAGGATGACTTGGAGAGAGTACCACTGCTCAGCCCCTCGTTCCGACCTCTCTGTAAATGAAATCAAGACATTCAAGCTCTGTTACCTCCTCAGCAGCATGAAGCCTGTTCAACACAAACTTGTCTTAAACAAGTCTGTTCTGTAGATTCACCTCTCTCAACAAGTCAAGATGATCCTACAAACACAGTGCTGCTCCTCAACAGAGGGGGAAAAAAGCAGATGCCAAAGATAATGTTTTCAGTGTTTGGTAAAAGCAGATGGATTGAGATACTGAGAACAAGACATTCAGCTTGAAATTTACGGCAGGAAAGTGTTACCAAAGCCATGCTTGCTTTCCAAGTTCAATTCTGTAAAGAGCCACATTCCTCTAATTGAGAAACTCAAGAACTTTGTATCTGAAGTACCAACCCTCATAGCAAGACTTCTAAAGGATATTAAAAAAACCTATTACAATGTGAAGTATTTTGTCAATTATCCTTTTTGTTTGTGTCCCTCCCGAAGTAGTGAGAGCAGATTGCTCGCATAATTTTTACAGTTGTGTTGAAAGACAGTCCTCCCAATTATACAAGGAACTAGGATTTCAATTAGCCAAAGTTTAATGTCACTGATCTTACAGGATAACTTAACTATCTTTAAAGGAAGACAGCATAGGTGATTATTGTTTTTTCCTGACTTTAAGGCACTGGCCCTAGGTTTTCCCTCCCTCACAGAACTGCAGAATAACAGATACTTCCAAAACAATGCTACAACTGCATCACAGGGGATCTCTTTCTATAGCCTGACATTCAAGGACAGAGGCCAATATTCCTTCCCAAACCACATCTCCCAATGCACCATGCTGCCAAGTCTCTATTCTTTTCTTTCCCTACATTTACTGTATAACTTCACTGATGTTCCAAGCTCACAGCAAAGTATGTTGGGAGCAAGGAAAAAAACTGTACTAAATAATTAATTGGGCATCTGAGACCACTTTTCTGTGTAACTACCAAAACTGCTATTCCGATTCAAGTCTGGTAAAAGGGAATAACTGTATAGCATGCAAATGGCTGTGTCCTTGGAAGCAGTAAGATGCCATTCATTTCAGCCTGAACCATAGGTTTTTAACAGAAGAGAATTTGGCTCTGTCTGCACCTAACCGGAGGCAGGCTTTGCTCATACATGAGTTCCAGGCTTAGAAGGATGGGCATATGTTTGTGGGAGGAAGGGAAACCTTCAGTAGATGTTCTTGGTGGCAAAATCTGGCATATTTCACAATTTTCTTCCCTCCAATGAAAACTGCCATGTTTATTATTTGACCGATGGCGACTACCTTTTGCTTTGAAGGTCTAGTAATTTTTCTGTGCTCTAACTCTTGCTCAAGGTGTAAATACAGCTTTAAGCAGTTAAGCAGCTCTCCCAGTATTTTCCCTGATCCACCACCAAGAAAAGGAAAGGAAATACAAAATAACCTGATTATTCCCAGAACATGAAGCTCCTTTACTCACAAAGCCTCTTTCCCGAGTGGGATAAGAGAACAAAGCCAAAGAACAACTTCTTATTCTCCCATTTCTCTTTTTCAACTAGACATCCCTCTCCACAGAGCTTTACTAATGCTCTCAAAGCAGAAGGGCACAAACTGTGCCTGGCACAGTACTTATGCAGAGTACAGCAGTCATCAGGAATGAGCACATGGCGCATACCACCTTGCTCAACTGGTGGACAGTCAACTGAGGAGACAGCCTTCACCTGACAACATTTAGTTCTTTGAAAAACATAAAAACACATCTTGGGAAGCTGCCCTGAATGCTTACCTCTTCAACAGTTTCGTCTTGCGGGGTCGCTGCACTATCATCAGAATCCTTCTGAGAGCCCGCATCGGCACTTTTGCGAACCTCTCTACTCTTCTTGTGCTTGTGGGCTAGTTTTTTGACATGCCCGTCTGCTTTTCCACTGCTAAGACGCCTCACGGGACTGGTAAGCCATTTTCTCAAAGTGTTGCCGGGGCGCTTGGGGCCTGGGGAGCTCTGTGCACCGATCATGTGGGGCTGAAGTGATGTTACTGAAGCAGGAGGACTGGCATCATTGCTGGAGACCGAAAGGGAGTCTGAAAAAAGAACGAGAGGAGCATTTCAAAGCTGAAACACTGGTAAGTGAGAAACAAGGCCAACGACATATGTAATAATGGATATCAGATTGGATTTATGGATGAATCTACCAGATTATTTTGAAGTACCCTGGCCTTTAACACCACCACAACTATCAGTGCTCATGCTGCACGTGGCCGCCCACAAATAAGCACCATTTATATGCTTACAACAGTCAAGCTTCATTAATTTGCTCCTGCCTCAATTACAATTCATACTTACCACTGCTGATAGTTATTTGATAGTGGATTATACCTTCCATATGTCATCTAACTTTACAGAAGGATATGCTTGTTATATCTTTTAATGTATACAGCTTTGAGCATGGACATGAAGAGTAGAAATAATTGCCTCAGTGAGATAAGTAAATTATTTTTCAAACACCAAATTTTATTACAAATGCTCCAATTACTTTCATTATTTATTTATTTCCCCTACCCTTAGGGAAAGGGAGAAGAATAATCCAGAAAGCAGCTAAATGTCTGTCTTTTGCTTAAATCTTCTCAGTTTTGGCTGTTTTTTTGGTTGGTTGGTTGGTTTCTTTAAGGCACAGAACATCTGTGTTTAAAAGCCCATTTGCTCAGATCTCAGGATCAGCAGTATTTCTCAGCATGACAATGCCTGAAGTTCTGTAGTCAAAGAAAGGATACACTTTTCTCAAGCCATAGTTATATGTGCATGAGGTCAATACTACTTTCCCACCGAGGCTCCTGTCACTTGAACTGGACCATACGCTCATGATAAACACCCACTGGTTAGCTATTGTAAGACTACATTTCTTTTTTCCCCATGCAGCACAATGCTTTTCCCCCCAGCAATTCTCTTTTCCTAAAAACATACTTTTTTTCTGGACACATTCTTGTAACACCACTCCTATGAATATTATCTACCACGAGGGTATTAACAAGACTCTCCTAGGTTGTCAAATATGTTTTTTTTCCACCCTGTGTGTGCACTATTGTAGATAGATAGTTTATATAAGGATGACATAAATAATGTTTTGTTGAATGTTTCTACTGCTGGGAATTAAATGCAGTGCTTGTGTTCCTTCTTGAAGCTTGACACAGATGTTCAGGTCATCTCTTCTGGCAGCTTTTCCGTAAGAGGCGTATTGCCAGTCTGACCAGAGGTAGTTTGAATTTTGTAGAATAATATGGTCACACTGATGTCGCAATACACTTTACTGTAAACACCCAAATGCCTTGGATCTACACACAAGTATGTGAGCCTGCTCTGTTTCCAGAGAGCATTAAGTACAAATTATGGCTTTGAAGTGAGATGGGGAAAGAGACATAAAATGTGAATATAAGAAGTTAGGACTTTTTTATTTTTCCTTCACTGTTCAAGCTGTTCAAAAAAGAGCATCCATTCCTTGGAGTCCAAAATGGTGATCTATCAGGCTGTTTGTCAAGATATTTCTCTATGCTAATAAAACCTAAATGCTATTCTAATAAAACCCAAATGGCATGTGACTGTTAAGATACATCAGCTCTGATGCTAAGAACTCCTGCGGCTTATATTGTATGAACACATACATAGTAACTGCTATTAACCACCACTTTCATCATGTTTCCATAAAGCAGAAGGTAAACAAACTTTATAAAGCACACTTTCAGTCCAACAAGGTAGGTGCTAACACTTTAAAGCAAGTCACCCAGAATCAGGATTCATCTACAGAATTATCTTCTAGCCACAGCTGTAGCTGTGCTGCACATGGGTAAGGAGACTTCCTATTATGCCATTAACTGGTTTCAAGGCTTTAATTAATGGGTACTACCAAAAAGCAGATGCAGAATTAAATTAGTCGGCTTTGTATCTCAATCTTGGGATAGCAGTGCTACAGAATTACCACATTATTTTCTGGCTGAAGCAGGAAACATAAGGAAGAAATTAATTATCTACAACAATGGTTTCCAACTTGCAATCTGCGTATCCCTCGAGGCCCCTGGAATACTGCTTAAGGGTCCTCAGCATATACGTAAGAAAAGCAAGCCTACTAAGCCATCAGTATCCACATCACAACAGATTTTTTTACTTTATTTAAAAAAAAAAAAAAAGTGGTCTGCTTATTAAAAAAAATTCCAAACAAAACTTCCAACCATCTGCAGGCTCTCCACAGGAATCCAAACAATCTCCTATTAAACCTCTGTAAGAAGTTAGTTTGACTTCTCTTTCACCAAACTCAACTTCACCTTTATTGTAACATGCATCTTTTAATTTTTTTATCAGATATCTTGTTTCAGAAATCATAGAAAACATCAGCTGATGGCTATCTTAATAAATAACCTTCTGCCACTCTGCTAGTAGAACACAGAAGAGGAGAAAACAGTGCTGGCGTTCTTGGTAAATAAGTTTCTTAAAGCACAAACCAAATGCTTTGTTTTCAAGAGTCCCAAGCTTGAAGATGTTATAATCACTCAGCCAAGTTTTTCTTTCATTTGTATATATTTTTCTTCCCAATAATGGTTCATACAAGTTCCTTCCATACAAATAAAATGGAACACATTCACTTGTTTATAAAAAAAAAAAGGCAATCAAGCCTTCGCAGAAGTTCACCGTGTACCGTTTTGTATTTTTGTATCTGTTGCATTTCTTTCCTTTACAAGTACTCCCTTCTAAGAAAAAGGCAGTGTGGTGGTGCAGTAACTGATTGCGTAAGATTTACTTTTACATAAACATGCCTATCCCTAAGCATGTAACATGCCTGCAGTTAATAAACCCATTTTCTTTTTATAAAACCTGTGTTCCACCTCCTCAAATTCTCACCCATCCTTTTCCCACCCATCCCAATCAACGCTTATCAACTACCAAATTTCTTGTAAAACCAAATAGTACAATGCAGAGCCCCTGAAACTGTGGGAGATGAGTATTTTTGTCTGACTTTTGCTGTACCACTCCTACTCTTAACCCAAGTCAGCCAACAGTTTGTGGGCAGGAGGGAAGAGAGCAGGAAGAAATACATACACTCCGCTCAAGTGGAGAGGATCTAAGAGACAAAACAAGGTTAGCCAGACATGTTTCGCAGCACATACTTTATCCATATCCTCCCACACAGCATTAGTTTTCATTTGGCGTGCAGCATGTAACTGCTTCTCATCTTCTCTTCTGCATGATTTAATATGAAGTGCTTATTGAAGTATTATTAGGGCTTCAGGGAATCATAAAAGTGGACAAAGTGTAAGTAGCACACCAAAATGATAGCACTGTACCACTTTGCTCTTTAAAGCATGAAAGCACTGGGGGAGAAGGAAAAGCTTAAAATGAATAAAAATACTGCATTGCCATAAAGGCTTCAGCTTAAATATCAAATTTTATTAAAAGAGTTTCTTCAAAAAAAAAAAAAAAAAAAAAAAAACTTGTAATCTTTTTGAGTAAAGAAAACCTTTGGAGAAAAGAAAAAAAACTGTTAAGAGAAGCAATTAAGTCTACCTGATGTGAAGGCAGATGGAACTGTTTGTTGTTTGGAAGCTATCTTGTAAAACAGTTTAAAGAAAAAAGATCTTGGCTAACACATAGAGTGGAATACTGGAGATTTTTAGCTTCTCAATGAAGGGAAGCATTTTGATTTAAATAAATGAGGGAGAGAGGGAGGTTTAACATCACCAGTGTTAACCTGAATGGAATACCAACCCAACAGCCTCTTCAGAGATCAGGCCCAATTTTTTGCCCCTCCTTAAATTTGCAGACAACGTCCCTACAGCCTCATAGGTCAATGTTAATACTCACTACAAATATTCCACGCCAGTATTTTCCCAGTGAGACCCTTTACCGTCCACTTTCCCATCCCATCCCAGCTGTCAGGAGTCCAGATTCTCCAATTCTTACTCCCATCCGCTTCTCAGGAGACCAGTTACCATACTAGAGCACAGTCATGAAAAAACCTAGGTGCTCAAGTTCATATATTTAAGCAGAGGCATTGCCAGATCCAGACGTTAGGGAATATCAATACAGGCAATGCCAATACAGGCATTTTCAAGAGCACAGAAAGACCTTCCACCTTCACTATGAGAACAGCCACAGGGGTGTGTCTTATTTCCCCCTGCCCCATCACTATATACTACTTCTATCTATATAATTAGGGATACAGGCTTGGTTTGATTGATTACCATGCTTGGGAATGTTTACACTAAATTGGCTTTGTTTCCTGTATGACTACATAGCAAATTGTTTTTCTAGGGTTGCTCAAGAATATTTTATCACTAAAACATGCTAAGAGGAAAAAGGAGTATTCAAAATTAAACCAAGAACAACATGGACTTTTAAAACCAAAACAGATGGAATAAATTTGGGGTATGCTAACCCCAACTGTGTTTCAAGTACAGCAAACTTTCTAGTGAGTGTCAGATTCCCTTTTAGAAAAAGATAAATGCAACAGATGGCCATCTTGGAGAGAAGAAAAACAACACACACATAACGATCACACACAGCAACACCAATCCAGCAAGAAACCATCAAATTTAATAAAATCACTATTTGCTCAAGTAGAGACAGCTTTGTAATTCAATAAAGTATTTAAAAAAAAACTAATGGATGGGCTTTGTTTTATAATTCATAGCCACAATAGAAAAGAAGGCATTTAACTCCCTTTTCTCTCAAAGTAAAAACCACATATGTTGCTCTGGTGGTGAGGTCAGAGAGTTCACCGAGAGTCCATAAATATATTTTTGAAGCGAAAGAAAAAGGGCAGGCAGCATGGGTTCTGACCCCCTCAAACTAGAAGATAAAGTTACCTCCAACGAACAGGCAAATTTTTGAAACTGGAAGGGAAATGGGAATTCTCATTCTAGTCCCAGCTTTCTTAACACTAGGAACATGCACATCTGTGATTAATAAACTGCTTTTTCTCCCGAAAAAATAAATCAGCCATGTTAAGCTAGTTGATGACTTGAAAGACTCTGCTTCATATTAACTATTTCCATATTGCTGTTTTTAGAGTTTTAGTATTTACAAGGAGAGCAAG